TATATATATATAGTTACAGTTGAAAATTTCAGCACTTTTCTCTCAAGAACTGGGAAAACATATCAAGAGAAGTTCAGTAAAGATAGAAAAGTTTTAAACAACAATCAATGAATTTGACCTTATATTTATAAGACACTGTATCCAACAAGAAAATGCACATATTGAAGTAAACATATATTATTCACCAAAACAGAGCATATTCTGGGTGAAAAAGAGGCCTAAACAAGACGAAAGCATTGAAAGGGTGCTCTGGTGGCTAAGTGGATGCAAAGTTGCACTGCCAACCCAAAGGCAGGCAGTTGGAATGCTCAAGATGGACAATCTCTCATCACTTTTGTTGTTGTTGTAAAGTGCCATCGAGGCGTAGATCACTCATAGTGACCCTATGAATGAAAGATCTGAACACTTGTATAACTTTCATTGTTTATCCAAGTTCATAGAGTTTCCAGAGGTAAGGTATTTTGGAAGTGGATGCCACTTCTGCTTCCAAGCTCGTTTTAATCGGGGAGCTCTACCAAACACTGTCCACCAGAGGTATACTACCTCTGAAAACTCACTGGAGGGGCAGCTGTAAGTCGAGTTTGACTCAATGACACATAACAAAAGGAAAACCAATGACCACCATAGGTGAGAACACACACACACACACACACACTTTCACATGGCTTTACTTGTGGATTCTATCAATCATTAATATTTTTATATTCATCAACATTAAAAGAAGAAAGTCTATCAAGTCTGTAAGACTTTTCTAGAAAACATAAGATGCTGCACTTGCCAATCAAATTTTTTAAGGCACTAACACCAAGTTGAGTTGATTAAGAAGACACAAGAAAAGAACCATATTCTCATAAACAGATGAAAAATCCTTAACAAACTATTCAAATCTAGCAAAATACATAAAAAGCCATCATGAACAAGTAGGACTCAGAAATGCAGGTTTGCTGAAACATCTAAATCTATAAAATTTATCATTTACCAAAAGGGGGGGGAAATACATGTGAAACCAGAATTTGAGTAAGGCAGAAAAAAGAAAAGGTCCAAAAAAGAAAACACAAATATTTCCCACCAATATGAGCAAAAGAAAAATGGTTTAAGACTTCTCTTGTCAAAAGGTAGAAAACAAGTGAGACTCTTATGAGTAAAGCAGTCCAGTCCCGTCAAGTTCTGGCTTTCTCTCACAGATATCACTGTATAATAATTTCAATAGTTACAAAAAACCATTTGACCAAAAGTCCACTCAAGATAATATAACTTGGAAAAACAGATGAGAAAGTAAATTTCCTCAACCTGGTAGCATAATAATTGCTGCCTGAGATTTGAAGCAAATCAAATATGTCTCCATTACCACTATAATGCCAACAGTGTACTGATGATTCTAGCCAGTGTAATAAGGGAAGAAAAGAAATAAAAGGCATGTAGTTTTCATATTCATCTATATAGAAAATCCTAAAGAACTACAAATAAAATTTCCTAATACTAAGTGAACTCAACAGAGTTGTAGGATTCATGATCAGTATTTTAAAGTTTTACATAGTTACAATCAATAATTAAGAAATGTCATTAAAATACTATTTAAAATAGCATTCCAAAGTCTGAAATACTCAGAGATAAACATAGCCAAAGAGACACACGACCTTTAGACTAAAAATCTCTAAATTATTACTGTGAAAAATGACAGAAAAGCCATACAAGTGGGGAGAAATACTATGTTCATGGCTTGAGAGATGTAATATCTTTAGTGTAAGATTCTTCTCCAAATTAATTTATAGATTTATCCACACTAATAAATATCTCACCAAGTGTTTTTCTAGAAACTGACAAGTATATTAAAATTTTGGATGTATTTAATAGCACAGCCTAAGAAAATCTGTTCTTTAAACAAGGTTTTATATTTTAAAAAGCTAAAATAAAAAACCAAAACAATACAAAACAAACCTAGTTGGAATCTACTGTTCCAAAGAATCTACTTTTCTTAGGAGAAAAAAAAAAGGCAATAAACATCCTAATGCACAGGACCTAGAGGAGTCAAAACCATTCTGGAGGGAAAAATAAGTCACAAAGTGATTGGTTGATGAGTAAATGGCAAAGAGATGAACTTAATTAAGTTCCAATTAAAAGGTGAGCATCACTGTTTACAAGGCAGAGAGCTGGTTATACGAGTTTAGAGAGCAGCAAAGATTGGAAAAGGTACAGGTAAGAACACAAGAGCTTTAATAACTCAGTAGAATAATTAGGGCCTCTTATTAAAACTAATCTCAGTCTTAGATGTGTGGGATAGAATAATGACTGTCTGGTAAACAAATTCTGAACATATATTGCTTTCTATAAAACAATACTTCTTAACATCCATGTGGGAAGATAACACTGCTAGCTTCCTTCTGAAGATGACATGCTCTTCACATCATTCTTCCAGTATCAGTGGTGATGGTTTTAAATACCCATTTGACCATGAATTTGTGCATAACTTGTCAGAATTAAGAATGGAAACTCTATTCTTAGAACAAAGTTTTCCTTTAATAGGAGATTAACTGACCAATTCTAAGAGTCAAATACTAAAAATTCTAACATACTGGCACCAGCCATTGCCTTGTGTATATATGACAGGATTCTATTTTAAACTATGATCTATTTCCCTCAGCTTCTTACACCTTTCATGTCAAATTTTCCAAAGGCTTGCATGACAAGCATTTGGAAAAAAAAATAACACCTCATAAATTCTCTCTGGGGAAACTGAAACATGCAACTACCTGTTTACATATGCAGTAACTTGAATTATACATGAAAATTGCACATGGATGCCCAGAATCAGCACTGTGTTAATTCAAGAAGTATATTAAATTTTTGGATGTATTTAATAGCACAACCTAAGAAAATCTGTTCTTTAAACAAGGTTTTCTTTTATAAAAAGAAAAAAAAAAAAACCAACCCAAAAAACCTAGTTGGAATCTACTGTTCCAAAGAATCTAATTTTTTTTGGGGGGGGGGAGGGGAAGGGGCGGAAATAACATTTGCAATAAACAGTAAGTAGTCTTATAATAAGTTGAAAACAAAACCAAACATTTTAAAAATGATTACTGGTGACTCTATATTTAAATCTTTAAGAAAAGTTGCTGGATTATGAATTGTCCCTAGAATATATAACTTGAGTCATACTAAAAATAAAACTTAAATGATAAATGTCAGTTGCAGAACTTATCACCTTTTCATTTGAGAGCATGACTTCTATTGGGTAATTCTCTTCCAAGAGACCTTTGGGGGGAAAAAAAGAGGTGACAGCCAATTCACTGCCTAATTGATTTAGGAACAGTGCCCAGGGAGACAGTCCAATTAAGTTTACAAGCTGGCAATTAGCAGGAAGCCCTCTAAATCCCTACATTGAGAGCCTGTTTACTTTAGTAAGAAAGCAAATGTGCAAGAGATAGGAAGAGAAAGCTGTGCTTTTTGCAAATCTGTTGTGAGTAGGCCCACAAGGGAAGACTAACATAAAAATAGGTATAGGTGGGCAGGCAGCCTCTGGTTTGATAGGTAAATGGGTAACTTAGAGGACGCAAGCGTGCACGTGTGTGTGCATGTTCATGCAAGTGCATGTGTCCAGGTGTGTTTTAACAAATATGTGACACATCAAACATCCACATTAGTTAGCGTTGTACATGGGGCATACAACTATAAACCACACAGTTGTGTAAAGTAGGACTGGATCATCTCCTAACAAATGAGATTGCATTTTATTATTGGACATGGATTGTGTACCAATGAGGGAGTTTTTCTTTTGCTTTTCAAGGAGAGGAGCAAACGGGG